CGACCTGGGGGCTCGCTGGGGCCGCGGCCCCCCACCCCAGAGACCAAGACCGACTTTGAAATCCGGGACCGCCCGCGACGCCTGGCCACCCTACATCGAGTCCAACCCTGCCGGAGGGAGAAGGACCGGCTCTATCCGAACCACCCCGACAAATCCATCGTGCAGCCGCTTCGCGACGCCGGGATGGACCTGACACCACCCCAGGCTCAGAGCGGCCTCGCACAGCCCGGCAGGGCCAGCACCGCGGCAGAAACGTCGGTGTCCGGGGCTGGCCGGGCGCTGCGCGTCGTCCGGCTTTCTGCTCCGCTCCAGCAGCCCAGGCCCTGTGCCGTGCCGCGCCGGCGGGGAGTCCCCCAGGGCCTAGGACACGCGGCTGAGCAGCGCCGCGGCGCAGACAACACGTCCTCTCTCGACTGTCCGTGGAGCTGTTTGTGCTGCGCGAATTGCCGGCAGGAGCGAAGGGCTGGGCTCCGTGCTGGGGTTTGTGAAACCGCAGATCCCAGAGGCTTTCCAGCCGCCCGCAGCCACGCTGGGCGGCCGACGGCATCCTCCATACGCCTCCCTCCGGCCTCTCGTGCCCGTGGGCTTCCCAGAGGGCTCAGCCGCTCTCTGATCTCAGCAAAGACCAGGCAGTGGCTAGTGCCAAGAGGCTGGTGCGATGCTGGCAGTGGGGTGGAGGGGTAGCCCTCCCTGCCACGCGGGGAGCGGCACAGGATAGCCATCGGGGTATCTCTGATGCAGCAGAGTCTCGCGCAGAAGATTTCAGCACCTTGCTCCTTCCACGCCCTGCCCGAAGCATCGTCCTCGGCCTGCCGGTCCGGTCGGTCCCGCTTGCAGCTCAGCAGCTTCCCCCTCCTTGTTCTGTTGTTTCCCATGCCCCTGCATCGGGTGGGTGCCCAGCAGGGCCGTCTCCTGCGTGCACAGAGGAGCAAAGACTTGGACGAGCCCGCATGGGGATGCTGTCTCCTTTGGTTCCGGATTTCTCTGTGACTTTTGCTGGCTGGAAGAGTCTTCAGCAAGTTACTATCCTCTCGAGGATGCTTTGGTCAGGCCAGAGCTCCAGTTCCCAGCTCTGCTTGTCATCGGGGAAGTCATTTCCTCTCCCGGAGCCAAGCTTCCCTGCTGTGAAATGGGGATAAAGCCACTCCTGTCTCCAGTGGGGACCTGTGAGGAGAACCAGAAATAGCCTCCCTGAGTCACCGGCAGCCGTCTGAAGCTGTGATTATTTCCCACCGAGCAGGGGCTGAGTTTACAGAAGGCTCAAACCGCCTCGCCAGGATGCTAGACCGGGGAGGAACGGGGCTGGAGGACGAAGCGCCCTGCTCTCCCGATGGGCGATCTACAGCTTTCGGGCGCTGCCTCTTCTCTAAGTGCTGGGCTCTGGGGTGCTCCCCAGAGGTATCTCCCTCTCCCAAGCTCTTTGATACTGCTTTGTAAAGGTATTTCGGGGCCTGACTCACATGAAACCCATAGGAACTGAGTGCCTCTGAGCCTGGCCCGTGCAGGCGACACAGGTATTGCATCATTTGACCCTCTGTGGACAGCTGGGCAGCACCGGGCGATGGCAGATACCCACCCAGGTTAGACTAAATCCCACATCAGGCATCGTGCCTCATACTCCAGCTGGGGTTTCTTGGCCATCGCAGTCCCGGCAGCTCTCCTGTCCTCTAGGCGACCCGCGGACCCGGCCACTTCAGTGCCTGGCTGGAGAGGCGAGCTGCCAGGAGAGCACTACCACGGGTCCGTGCCTTTTCCTTCCTGCCTCCCAAGGGTGAAAAGCAGCTCCCAGGCGTCTGGGCTTTGCTGGTTGCCGCATGGGCCTGGGAGAGAAACCAACCCCTCCATCACGCCCCCCCTTACAGTGAGGCCCAGGGAAGCTGTGGACTCTCCATCCCTGGAGGGGCTCCAGGGGAGGCTGGGCAGCCACTGGCTGGGGTGATCTAGGCGCAGCGATGCCCATGCTCCACTATGGGGATGTCCAGGGCTTCTGGGCTTCGCTGGTTGCCCCCCTCCCCGATGTGCCGGGGGAGGTTAGGCCTTCCTCAGAGCCGCTGGGTGTTGGCTGCAGCCCAGGCTGGGGATGGCAACTAGCCTGTGCCAATGTATCTGCAGGGACCTACGCCTGAGGGTCCTGGCTAGAGGGTCTTGCCTTGCTGCTCAGGGTCAGACTGATGCTGCATTTGGGAATTTTCTCCCATAGTCAGACTGGTACAGACTGGGGGGGCTTTGCCTTCCTCCGCAGTGGGGACGTGGCCTCAGCCTGGGATCTCTCTGGTGTATTTGAACAGCCTCCTCCAGCAGCAGGACATTGGCTGCCGTGGTCCCCCTGCCTCACCTGGAGCAGGTTCGGATGCGATGTCTGATGCTGTGTCAAGGTTGACGGTAGTTTTTCAAAGAGGTTTGGTGGTGGATTTGTCTGGGCTGGTTCAGACGGGGCTGATCCTGCCTCGGGCAGGGCCTTAGACTAGACGTGACCTCTGCCTACCCCACCACGCCAGGATTTCTATGGAGGTTTTAAAGGGAAAAGACGTTTTTGGTCGGTTCCCCCTTCTGCCCCGCATTAGGAGTGCCGGGCTTGCCCAGCCGGATTCTCTGTGAGGCCGACTTTCCTACGATCCCGTGTGACGCGACACACACACCATTGTAACCTGCTTTGCTGAGCCTGGCGCCGGACCCCGTGTCCTCAGCGCACGCGGGTGGATCTAGGGTTTTGAAAAGGAGGGTGCAGATAGCGTCAGCCCAGATGACAGGACAAGGAGCAATGGGCTCAGGCTACAGCAAGGCAATTTGAGGTTGGATATTAGGAAAAACTCTCTCACTCTGAGGGTGGTGAAACACTAGAACAGGCTCCCCAGAGAGGTGGTGCAGTCTCCATCCTGGGAGGTGTTTAAGACCCGGCTGGACAAAGCCTTGGCTGGGATGATGTAGTTGGGGCTGGTCCTGCTCGGAGCAGGGGCTGGACTAGAGCTGACCTCCGGAGATCCCTTCCCGCCCTCCCTGTCTGTGATCACAGCTAACACAACACACGCCTTTCTCCACTTAGAGAGAAACCAGAAGCTGTACTAATGCGCTGGGGGCCAGCGCTGTATTATTCAGTGTGTGAGCAAAGCAAAACACAAACAGCACTTTACTGGAGTGCAGACTCATTTGCTAGCTTCTATAGTAAGCTTAAAAAACACAACAAACTAATAAAAATTAAAAAAAAGGGGGCCAGAGCTATTGTCTCATTCGTCCTGCAGTCATAAATAATAATGAAATGCACGTCTCTCAGCCAGATTTGTAAAGCAAAATCTTGCCGCCTGGAGCATCTTGTCTGCTTCGCTGTCAGTCCTTTCCGCACCTGAGCTAATGTTCCCCTGAGGGCGTGTGACCACACCTGAGTTCAGGGGATGATCCAGGGCAGCAGTGCTCAGCCGTTGGCTCGTGGGCCAAAGGCAGCTTGTGGAGCTGTCATGTCTGGCCCGCCGGGCTCTCCACCGGTCAGGAAATTTGGTGGTGGGGGAGTGATGGCAATTAATACGGCCACCCTCCCCGCTGCCAAACTCCCAAACCCTGCACAGCTGTGCTGCCTTCCCCCCATGGGACCGAGCCACGGCTGGATTGGGATGCTGCCTCCCACTCTGCAGCTGGATCGGGCCTGGGCCACGCCCCTTCACAGCTGGATGGGGACTGGGCTAAGCCCCGTCCCCCTGTCTCCCACAGCTGGATCGGGGCTGGGCCCACCCCGTTTTTTCTGCACGGCCAGATTTGGCCTGCCCCACTCCACGTGGCTGGCCGCGTCTGGCTCGCAGACGGAGCAGGCACCCCATGGCCAAAAGGGTTGTGCACTGCTGGACCGGTGAAAGATCCAGACGGTTATGAAGCCGAGAGGGTCCTTCACGCCCAGGGAGCAAAGAGATCAACAGGAACCAGGGGGACGATCAGGAGCGGTGAAGTAGGCCGACTCCCTGAGCCGCTGCCGGGATAGAAATGGCCGTTGCTCCCAAGCACGTGGTTATAAAGCTCGGGCAGGGCAGGAATCATGGGGCAGGGGCAGGAAGAGGCAGTTGCCCCAGCAGCCCCCAGCCACACACCAGGCCGAGCGGGGCAGTGGGGGCTTTGTGGCAGGACAGAAGCGAGGATGCAAAAGGCGCCTGCTCAAGGGGCAAGCCCTGGCCCAGTGGGGTGAGACCAGGGTCGCTCGCCCCACCCCGGGCCTAGTGCCACCCTGGGGACACCAGTCACAAGGGGGGGCAGGGTCATGACCTCTGGAAACCCCACCCACCCACTTCACTAAGGGGGGGAGGGCGCATGCGCGGGGAGGTGGCCCAGGTGACAGGGGCTCGCACGTGGGAAAGAGGACATCTCTGCGCACGCGCGGCTCACTGCCTTTCAGCGCGCCTGCCCCCTCGCGCATGCGCACCCACA